CTGCTGCACCCGGGGCTGGCCCGGCGGAGGCTGTCAGCCATGCTGCATGCCCACCCCGCACCCTTCATGGACGTCTCGGCGGGGCGGCAGTGCCCGGCCCTCTGCAGGCCAGCGGAGGCTGAGGCCATTAGGGGCCACCTCGCCGCCCTCCTTGACCATCTAGGGGCTGCCGAAGCCACCACCACCTGCCCTGTGTCCTCCAGTGAGGTTGTTCCTACGGGCTGGAACCTCTGCACCATCGTCGGGGTGCTGCTGGGCTACCCAGCAGCGTACACCTTTGCCATGGAGGAGGGTGCCGAGAACTGCCTGGGGCTGACGCCGCTGAGGGTGTTCACAGTCCAGGCCTCCTGCCCCAGGATAAGGGACGGTCTCAGGGTCCAGATCTACTCCTTCAGCGTCCCGGAGAGCCTCTGCACAGAGCTGAAGGAGGTGCTGGATGCCTGGTGTGATGAGCTGAAGGCAGCCTTCAGCGCACAGAGTGACTTTGTAGATCTCCGCATTTCGAGCGAGGTGGTGTCTCTTCCAGCAGTTGCCTTGTAAAACACAAACTCAGGACTGCTTGGTGTATTTCTTGCTTGCATCAGGGACCGAGGTGACAGATACAGTTCCCGTGTGCATGGCCCACTGAGGCTCTCAAGAAGCCCCCGAGCACCGAAGGCTGAATGGTGACGATCTCGGGCCCCAGACCTCGTAGGGCAGTTGCAAATCAAACACACGTACTTCCCAGAAGACCAGTGTGTGGATGTGTGCGCTCACAGCTGCTCTGCAGCCTCTGTTCCGACTGCAGAGTACACCCTGTAAAGTCAGGGTATATTTATTTACTGCAAACAGCTGCGGATTAATAAAAAAATCGGGCACCACAGTGTGTTGAATTTGTGAAGTAGGCTCCATATCATATTTACAACTTGAGCGACGTGGTGTCACGCACCACCTCATAGCTGAGCCTGTGCTTGAATGAGGGGCAAGTACTACTGTAACACCTGCACAATGCAGCTCCAAAAGGGGCTTAAAACCCCTGTCTCCGTGGAATTAATGCGGTGCTGGCAGTGGAGGGGAAGCGGACGTGGCTGTGGGGATACTTGGTCAAGAGACAGGCTCATGGAGCGGTAGGCTGAACTGGGCCCACGAGGACTGGGAGCACAAGGGGACTGTGCTAAAAAGCCTCCCTGAGCTGGACTTCCTTGTCAGGCACCAGTAGAAATGGTCCAGGGTCGACTACCTCCTGTTAAAGGAGGCAACAAATAAAGGAAGACAATTGCCTAGTCCTCCCAGTTGCCAGGCAGGAAAGCCAGGGAGGCTGGATCCCAAGGGCATGGGATGCCCTGTCCCTCTCGCCCCTCGCGAGCCCCAGCAGCGGCAGCCGGAGTGGCTTTGACCCTCAACGCTGCGGGGACAAGGCAGCACAAACTTCAGCTAATGCAGAATAACCAAAGCAGCCAAGGGCAAGGGTGATCTCCCAGCTTTTATTGGAGCTGCGGGATTTTGGAGTGAGACCAGCTCAGGATATGAACCAAACAGGCAAGTAAAAAACAGCAGAAGGTGTGCTGCGGCGAGGGTTGGTGAAGCAGAAGTCAGTTCCTGCAGTGAGGTCAGTCATTGGGAAGGTCCTTCATGGTCTGTAACTTGCAAGGAAGATGGCTATGGCCATTGCTATCACTGCCACCAGGAGAGGGATCCAGTGACCACGATGTCTCTGCAAGGAGAAGCAAGTGTTACTAGGAAATAGGTGGGCAGAAGAAACTTCTCATCTCATCCCTAGTAAACATGTCATTCATCTTTCAGCTCAGCACAAAGAAATGGGGGAATTTTTCCCAGACCGATCTGCAGCCGCAGTCCGAAAGCACTGGGAGTCAGGGCGAGGAACGCCTCCCACCTTTGCATGCTTGCTTTGGAAGTGGTTGAGCTCGTCCCGGCACTGGCGCAGCCTGGTCAGGCAGGAGCGGTACTCCTCGCTCAGGGCCTCCAGCTCCGAGCGCAGCTCCGTGCACTGCAAGCAGAGCAAGGGGCCGTTAGCAGGAGGGATCCTCTCACTCCTGTACGCACCGAGACCGGCAGGGCTTCCGCAGCGGCTGCAGCGCTTCGGCCATGCACAGGCACTGCAGTGACGGGGGATTTTCACTCCTGCTACCTGTATGTCCATATGTACCTATAGAACACAGAGCAGATGTCTGTTACTGGGAACATGGGAACATGGAGGCAATGCCCTGTCAGTTACCATCCTGGGACTTTGCTGCCATCTTTAACACCACATAGAAGAGAAAAGCAATAGTTATTCTTTATGACCACAGGTGTGAGCAGGTCAGGAAGATGTGGAGTACAAACTCGTGGCAGGCTTTTCCTCTCATTCCGAAATTCAGTCTGCATTTCACTGACTGTGGGAGCAGTTGCAGAGTCCCTTTAAACCCCCTGGAAGTGAGACACGTGGGACAGGTGCCTTGGTTGTGCTGCGCAACCCCAAAACCCAGGGAGCACCATTTTTCCTGGATGACCATGCGGCATCAGAGCCTGCTGCCCTCCCGGTGAGCGGCGCGGCAGTGGCTGAGGAAGGAGGCTGCCTGTGCTGGGAGGCTGCAAGAGCCACCGCGGGGGCAGCTGCGCCCTGTGCACCCTTCCCCGGGTGATGCTGGGTGATGTCTGATGATGGTGGTGCACTCGCCAGTGTGGGTCAGTAGGACAAGCTCTCCTCCTGTGTGGCTCTAAGCTCTCCTACAGTAAGTTATAAATCCTTTTTTATAAATCCTTGCTAAGTACTGCTGTAAGAACTGTGGGGCTGTTGGTTGGCAGAGGGCACAGTTTGTGCTACCAGTCTTTTGTCTTGAAACAGTCTCTTAGATGGGAAAG